CTTTCTCCCTCCCCTGACAATCGTAATATTTTTTCTACAAACTTGCTAGTTTATTTACTTAATTACCATGTAAATGTAAAGGCCTGAATAGAATTTATCGAAAACAAACGTATGTTCGCCAATCCATCTTCTGAGATATTTGTCTACTTTTTCTCATTTTTGAAATATTTATTTTATTTTCTGTCCTGCACCCCCATAATGCATTATCCGTATTACTATCGCGTGAGTTAAGGCTAAGTAGATTTAACCCTAAAGGCTACGATCTTCCCGGCCCGGTTCCTTAGGAGAAGAGAGAAGTCTTGGGAAGGCCGGATTGTTAGGAATAGTGTATTCTGCAGAAGGATAGGAGAATAGATGGAAATAGTTTTGAACTTCGGATGACAGCAGTCCGGCTGCCAGGGCATCGATTCCTGAGTGTCTAGAGCATCAGGAATCGCCGACGCATGTTTTGTTACGACGGCCAATGAGGCGGATGATGTCTAGACTAGCGTGGGCGCGCGACCTTGAGATGGGCCAAGGCTGGCTTGCGTGAGTGCACGATCACGCTGAGGCGTATGTGCGCGTCGGTCAAGTGTAGTCAGCGCCTAGCCTCAAGAGGTAGTGGGCGCGCAGGCAGGCTGAAGTCGTCATGCGTCAGCGGCTGATCTTGGGTTCCAAGTTGCTGCAAAAGGCCACTACATGACCTCCATTACAACCAGTCCCGTATTACAGAACTCTGGGACTGGTTTCCATGGTGTTGTCTATAATATACTGTTACAGTTTTTCGTAAAGACACCTTTCCAGTCTGATGTATTTTTGCAAACCTTTTTGATTTGCTCGTTATTCTTTGTTCCCAGAGACGAAACCGAAAGACGACAATGCGACCGTGAAGGAAGGCGAAGAGGAGGGTCCCACGCAGGCAGCTGACGATACATATGAAAATTGTGAGTGAATATACAGTTTTTAGATCAGTGAATGAAAGCCATTTTGTGGATGACGTTCACTGCTCGACCCCGATTCCAAGCGGGAATACTTGCACTTCAGTTGGGTTTGGAGAAGCCGACGATGGTAGAGTATGTAGCCCCCACCTAATTGTTGCCGTAAAATATGCCTAATTACTTTATTTAGGTAGTTATATTTCGTTGACGTTAATGTACTTGTGACGCTGGTATTAGCAGTCAAATTTGGGTTAGTTAATTTTTCGTACAAGGTGAGTGTTATGGTCAAGGGTGAGACTTAAGGTTAGGTGACAGGGCCACGGTTATGATAGGAGTTTTACGAAGGGCTTCAAGAGTTAATGTTAGCTCACAAAGGTACACATAAGCGACCCCGTGCTGACTAGTAACCCCCAGTTTCTGCTTTTGTGAGCGATTACATTTTTGTCCTTCTTTATTTCCACTCCTTTGATGTCGTTTTTTTATGTGGCCCGTTTCTATCTTTGTTTTTTTTGGAGGCATCTTTTCCATACAGTAGTTTTTTGTGTGCTTAAATTTATTTCGGTTTGATTGCTGTCAGCGATTAGGCCATGCAGTTAATGCAGTTTCTCAATATTCTTTAAAGTAAAGATTTATCTGACCGGTGATGTACTCAAACAACATAATGGAGTAAATACATTTTTAGCATTTCTTATTCGCTGAATATACTGTCTGTCATATCCTTTTTGACCCACGCATTGCAATCATTTCCGTGTTAAGGCATTGTTACTTCTTGTTTTGTGAGTGGGGCTACCTATGGTACTGTTGCTGGGACTCCTTTGAAATAGGCGGTAGTCAAGAGGTACGTCAGAGGAAGGTACAGGAACGATCGTTTCTGGCCTACCATAATTTTTTCATTGAGGCATACCTAGGATAGGTTGATGATGGCCAGTAAGACAGGAAACAACCACTGTTTCAGGCGTATACCCGCTTTTGGACGGTTAGACCCCCCATATTCTTTTGGCACACTAACTGTACGTCCGAGTACACCCCTCCGCAACAACGACCCACCGGCCTAAGTTGTTTAAATATGATTTGCCGAGGTACCTACCGTAGCATGTTCACTCTGCGTACTCACCGAAGTCACTTAAAGTGCATATCAGTGCATACCGGGGCGGGGTGGAGCTGGACAGTGCGTATACGAAGCTCGGCAGCTTAGATAATTCGCACGAGACTCCGTCACGCTGGGCCTTGACAACGCGTAGCTACTTTTCACCGGGTTCAGGCAACACTATTTGTCATACACCAGTGATACGGTGTTTGTTGGGGGTCAACGGACTAGCGCGTGCTTAGCACGCGAAGACGGAAACAACTCCTGACCTCGTCCGCATCACCACTCGGCTTAACGTAATTCAGTTGACCCGATTGCCGGGGGGTTTGTATGCAGCACACTTCGGCAACACGTTTTTAGCAGGATACTTGTGCAAAAACAGGATCTGGGAATAGGTTCACGTCTGACGAAGAGTAAACGTTTCCTGCCATCGGGCCGATCGGGCCGATCGGAGCGAATCGTGTCCAAATAAGTCGCTAATTAAGCGAGCATTCGAGTCCCAGAAAGTAAATGGGAAGATCGCTGGAGCAACCTTTTTATTCGCCTGACGTTTCGACATCCGTCGCGGATTCCTCATCAGAGACCTGAGCAGAAATTAGTAGCAGAAATGCCGCCACTGTGGGATTCGAACCCACGCCTGGTTGTCAGCTAGTGGAATCTTAATTTACTGCTGTGGAAATCCTGCCCGTGGCAGTCAGTTTACTGTATCAGTATTGGTGGATTCCGTACGTTGCAGTAGGCTGGGCGGGTAAATCGACCCAAGTGTGATTAAACTCACGGCTGCGGTGGGAGCCTCGTAGTTCACTTGGCTAGAGCGTTGGTTGTACTAAAGCCTTTCCAGGTTGACTTGGGCTCGAGTCCCATCGAGGCCACGAATTGTCCACAATCGAGTTATTAAAATCTGCCAACTTGCTCCTAAGAAGAGAAGAGGACAATGCGAAGTCAAGAACAGGGGGCGTGTGACGCGCTACTGTAAGGTGTGCAGGCGAAGACAATTTGAGTCAGCGCTGTGGCGCTGCAGGAACGGTTCCTGATCTCCCTTTAGGCGTGCTAGCGCATGTAGTGCAAATTCCTGCCCCAGTGGAAATTTCATTCTTTAATATGGTTGCACTGCTTAGCATCGACCTACAGTAGACTGCCTAGCCCATGTTTCGTCGAGATTTAACTTAAGAGAGGCTAGTATGGCGGAGATTTAGGGTTGTAAATTCTGTTCACTTACAGGAACAAAAAACGCTCTAGGGGGAGATTGCACTACAATATTAAGAGCTACGGACAAACAATTACTGAATGTATGAAAACGATCCCGTTCCAGGTATCTGCATGGATAAGAAAAAAGACCTTTCGAGCACTTGATCAATGTTTTTATTGTCTTGAGCTTTCAAACTTTTACGGGAGTCCAATTAAGAGATAAGAATTATTGTACTGTAAACTAACTTAAATACAAGCTGGAATGTATGCCTTTAAAATGGTCGAGCAATTCGATGATCGAGTTCTTGGTGTTACTATCTATCCTCTCTACTCTGACCTAGTGACTACGAAGTCCTTCTCTTCCATTCGTCGAGGCTTCTCAAACATAATCTCACTGTTGCAGTTTCTATCACGTACGGTTCCCTGTTTCCCTTCCAAAGTGATGTCGTGTAGTGTTAAAGCGCATGTTGGTTGGTTGGTAGCCCATGTTGGATCAGGGGTTCCCGCCAGAGTCCAAA